AGCCAGCCAGTAGGCCTGTGCAAAGCGGCTAGTATTCACTTTGGATTCAGATTTGGCCAATTCAGGGGGCAGTGATTCAATTTAGTGATTCGAATCACAGGCCCCCCCCCCCCCCTCTCTCCCAGCCCTGGCAATGGCTGCCCTGCCTGCCCCAGCTCCTGGCTCTTTGGGGGGAAAAAACCCCCCAGTTCACCGGGTGCTGCGAGGTGGGGGGCAATCCCTGCTGCCCCCCACTGCCCTATGCTACATGGGGGGCTTTGCACTAGCCCCCCAGGTCCCCCACAGGTGCCCCGCCCAGGCCAGCTGTGCCCCTTATGGCAGAGCCCTCCATTCAGCATGGGGCAGTGGGGGGCAGCAGGGCTCACCCCTTTGCCAGGCAGCACCCGGTGAGTGGGGCTTTTTTTTAAAGTACGAACTGGGGCAGGCGGGACAGCCATGGGGGGGCTGAGGGACAGGGCGGGAGTCAGGCAGGCTGGGAGAATGGGGGGTTGGGGGAGCTGGCAGGGGTCTCCCCATGATCCCCTCCCCCCTCCCTGAGGCCCCCTCTCCCCCGCCCCCTACTTACCAGCTCCGAGTCTGGCTGCAGCTCCCTGCTGCAGCCACCAGGGACTGCCCAAATCATCAAAGCTCTCCAAATCTTTTCTGAAGGTGCAGTTGGGAGCATCAGGGTGTGGAGTGAGTAGAGGATCTATGGGGTGGGGGAAGCATGGTATAAAGCCATTGCTGCAGTCAAGTAAGACTGTGTTAGAAGCTGGTGTTATACCCCTAAATTTGACTCCAGCCCTTAGTACTGCCATCCAGGGCCTGGCAGAATCGCTACATTTACATTATATAAAACATATATCAGTAAAAAAAAAATGTTTGCTTGTCAGTAAAAAGATTTCAGATTGTCAGTAAAAAAAATACTTAGGTTGGCAACTCTTACGTGTGTGTGTGTGTGTGTGTACACATATATACATATATATTTTCAGTGTGTGTATGTGCACATATATATGTATTAGGCCTGTGCGAAGCGGCTACTATTCGCTTCAGATTCTGATTCGGCCAATTCGGGGGACAGTGATTCGATTCGGTTATTCAAATCACTGTTCCGAATCGATTCAGTCGAATCTGATTCGGAGATTCAGTTGCTGCCAAATCTCCAAATCACACAAGCCCATCCCCCGCCTGCTCTCCCAGCCCCAGCAATGGCTGCCCCACCCCTCCCAGCTCTTTGGGGAAAAGCAGCCCTGAC